AGAGCCTATGAGTGCACTTTAATGTTAAATGAGTTATATCATTATTTTGTTTTTTTAAGTGGGTAATACAGGTTTGGAACACATGGTAACTTTTAATTAATCTAACTATATCCCAATAATAGCTATTAACACTTGCTCTGTATTATGCATTTACTGTCAAGCACTTATTTAATATTGACAACAACAGTCCGATGTATTTTGATGTAGCACTTTGACTGAGGTTACACAGCGAGCCCACAGAAGAGCAGGAATTCTAGTTCCCAAAGCCCATGATCTTAACCACTACTCTAAACTGTGGAACAACTTAAAGCAGTCCTTCCTCGCTCATTGCAAATGTTAGCGACGTGCCTTAACTAGGATAGCATTCATCGCAGTCTAACAGTTGGTTGCATACCGAGTAATACAATTACACACATTTGGTAGGGAATAGGAAGGAATCAGGCCTGTGAAATTTCCCATTGGTCAGGCTTGTGCAGAGTTTCAGTGATGGCAAAAACAAAACTCCTCTCTTCGCTTGTTCTACAAATATTGAACACTAACTGCACTCCAGGTGCTGAGATGGAAGAAATAAATAAGACTTGTCTCCTACCTATGAGGAATTGGGATGAAAAAAACAAATAGGTAATTACAACATAAAGGGACAATTTCTAAAATGGAGCTCTCCCTCCTAAGCCAAAGCCAAAGCTGCAAAACACTGTCTTACTTGGTCACATAGCCCCAAAAGAGGTCACAGGGTACAGCTGGCAAAAGAAAAGGAAGACAGAAAGGCATGCCTCCACACTGCTTAGGATAAAATGGTTAAAGATATTGTTATAATAGTCGTAATCTTATTTAATCTTTCAATAATGTTTATGCGTGAACCAGAGGCAGAAGTTCTAAATAGCTTTATGATATGGATTTTCTTTGTTCCTCATCTGATTTGTATCTCTAGAACTACTCTTTCCTGGACGGCTTGTCTGCTCCTGAGCTCAGGTCTTCCATACCAAATTCCAGCTATGATATTAGTCAGAATTCTTAGTTGCAAGTGGCAGAAACCCAGCACAACCTAGCTTAAGCACAAAGAGAATGTGTTGACTTGGTTATGGAGGAAGTCCAGGGGATAGGCATGGCTTCAGACAGGACAAAATTCCGGGATTCAAATGCTATATTCAGAATTCACTCTCTCTTCCCCTCCCTTACTTCTCCTCTCTCTCTCTCTCTCTCTAATTCTCTCCATCCATCAGCTCTTATTGTGTCTGCTTGACTTGTTTTTTTGTGGCTGGACTCTCTCTCAATGTGTCTCACATCCACATTTACCAGTTTAGGAACCCCAGTGGAGAGAGAATGTTCCTCACCCAATGTTCCTAAATGAATCCTAGGGAACATTCTGGTTGGTCTCTTCTGGTTCACATATTCCTCTTCTTCAACCAAGTACCAAGGCCAGTGGAGCTAACACACAGGACTGGATTATCAAATCAGACTCACAAAAATCAGAGATAGTTCCTAGCATTAAGCTTTACTAAGAATTTCAAGAGTACAGGAAATCAAGAGACAAAGACAAAGCAGAGAAAGTTCTGGGACATTTTTGCAAGGTCCTTTCTATCCACCAGCCCAGAACAATAGATGAAGTCTCTGTGTGAGGTTTTGCAGATTATCACCTCACAGAATAGGAGGCATGTTATTTATGAACCATCTTCATGTTATACCTCCAAGAATTGTGCAGCTTATATGACATGGTCCCAGGAAGCCATGTCCCAGAAATCAATAGATTCCACGTTTATTGACTGAAAGCAATTTTTACGAAGGGAGATCCTGCTAAGGGCATTCTGTAGACAAAGCCTCCTCCTCCTGTCTAAAATCATTATTCTATTTGCCTCACGTCCAGTTGACAAGATTAGACCATACCACTTTTCTTCTTTTCTTTCCCCTAGTGGTGTCCCTCTAATAAAGGAAGTGAATGGATCACAGGCTGGCTGCTTTGCTCCTTTCTCCCTTTCAAGAGCCTGGGTATTCCAATTGGACAGCTTGGGACAAGAATCCCAACCTGTCCTTGGGGTTAAGGGGAGCACCATGATTGACAGTCCCCTCAGAAGTACCAGGAGGTAACAGGAAAGTACTCTGGACATATATGAACTTTGACTACTCTTGTCTCCTATACTACTTCTGTCTAGACAAGAGACTCTTAAGAGTTCTAGTGACACTGCAACTTTTCTTTTTCCTAAACATTATGTATCTCTCTCTAGTTTCTAGCTGTGAAAAACTTTCCAGTTATGTCTTGTGATTCATGGAATACAGGCAAGACAATAAGCTGTGACAGCAGAAAGTGGGGATATCTAGGCCAAAGAAATGTTTAATAAGGCCTCACAAGGAAAGTTTAATTAGAGAAAGAATACCCCATTCTCCCTCCAATTCTCGTCATGTCCTTACACAATTTGCCCACAGAAATTCTGACATAGCAACTGAATTTTTTTAACCTAAGGCAGGGAATACAAACAACTATTCTACTGATCTAATAATCCAGCAGGTATTTTTTGTTTGGCCAAAACGGTATCTATTTTTAGGTTGAATTTGAAGGTCTCTGAATAGCCTATTACAATCTCCCTCATTGCCCAACGTCTTACACAGGCCTGCATCATTCATTCCGGCAACTGTCTGGCCCTGTCAACATTTGAGGTTTTCCGCCATGTTTAAGGGCTTGATGATTTCTGCTAAGGTGAAAGTTCTTTTAAAAGAATGTGTACTTTGGGGTGCCTGGATGGCTCAGTCAGTTTAGCATCCAACTCTTGATTTCAAGCTCAAGTCATGATCTTGGGAGGGCTCCAGGCTTGCAGAATCTGCTTGAGACTCCCTCTCTCCCCGCTGGTGCACTCTCTCTCTCAAATAAATGAATAAATAAAATCTTAAAAAAAGATAAAAGAATGCGTACTTTAAATTGATTTTAGTTATTTACATCAGTGTGAATGAGTTTCTCAAATGTTTTTCATTGGACAGAAAACTAGGAAAAAAAAAAAAAGTTTTGACTAAGTTGGTAAGACTGAAGAACAAAACAGGACCAAGAGTGCAGTGAGCAGCTGTCTACCCCCAAAATTTAAGGAGACACTCACTCTCAGATGTCACCTCCAGGCCCAGCAGCTGTGAGACTACCTCTTTAAGTTTTACACCCCACGTGCCTGGCTTGCTCCTTCTTGTCCTAGCACAGAAAGGTCAAGTTTAACCAGATTTGGTTTATTTGCAATGAACTATCCCTGATGGATTTCCTTTCCCCACTTGTGAACTGGGAGAGTTGTTCCACCCAGGGATGCCCACAATATTCTCTAATTATGCCTATACTACACTTACGACACTTTGTTCTCTCTCTTTACACATCCATATTGGCCAGCACTCTGTGAGCATCAGGCCGTGACACTGTCCTCTTTGTTGCTGTAATATCTAGCCCTGTCCCCTTGAGTAAGTGAGAGAATGAGTGAATGAATGTGCTCTTAACATTAGGCAGCCCATTCCTCCTGTGGCATGAACACCTGTGAAATCCCATGTCAGCTAAAATATTTTATCTTTGCCATAGATTGATGGCAAATTTCAATACATGTTTATTCTAACTACGACATGATCTTCCCATAAATTTGCATGTAATTTCAGTATTGTTCACTTTTTTTTTAAACATGTGTTCAAAAAAAGCACTGCACTAGATTTGCAAGTGACACCTTATACATGCTTTGCCTTTCAGTCTCCAGCAGGGCCAGCCTCCTTGACCCAATTAGACTTCTCCACTCCCACATGGCTAGTAAATACAATAATTAATTTATAAAGAACTCTGAAACACCAGCTGGCAAAAATTCCCTATTAATGGTTTGCACAGAACGAAAGGGGAATTTAAGTCATAGGGGATTTGTGAAGTGTGCAGGGTGCGTGCGTGCGTGTATGTATACCCACATTTAATCCACTGAATTTCTAAGAATGTCAAATTGTAAGTGTACTAAGTAAACGATGTTTAATAACTCGTCACTGAATTGTAGATAAAGAGATCTGTGTGACAAATTACTCCCAGAGATGTATTTTTGGGGTACATGAGACTTGAAGGTCTATGAATATTCACACACGTCCAGAGCACTATGATAAACTATGTTGTTCTTTAAGTACTGTTGAGAAGAAGGAGGAGGACGGTCAGTTTGAAGATTTCTCAGGGCTTTAAGATGGAGACAACAATACTGGACCTCTCTTGGAGTTTTTGCCTATTGCAGAGCCATGGTGGGCAGAATGTCAAGATGGCGCCCAAGATTCTTCCTCCTGACATACATGTATTATACTCCCCCTGTGAACGCAGGCAGGACCTGTGAATATGATGGGATGCCACTCCTTTGATCCGGTTATGTTATATAGCAAAGGTGATGGATTCATTTCTCCAGTGATCGTATTACATTCTATAAGACTACAGTAGTGGGAGTGGTAGCCATAGCAAGTAATAATAGTACTGGTGGTAGCAGCCACAGCAGCAGGAATAGACTGCGAGAAACTCTCTTGCAGGCTCTGGAGAAAGAAACTCCATGTTGTAAGAGGGTCATATGATTAGGACCGAAGGGCAGTCTCTAGGAGCTGGCCCTGGCTGACATCTGGCAAGAAAGTGAGACTCTGTAGCTGCAAGGCACTGAATTCTGTCAACAACCTGAGTGAGCTTGGAAGATGACTCTGAGCCTCAGACGGAATTGTGCGCCCAGTGGATAACTTAATCCTTGTCTGGCGAGACCCTAAGCAGAGACCCTAGGCTCAGACTTCTGACTGACAAATACTGAGAGATAATAAAATAGGTTGTTTTGGGCGCCTGGGTGGCTCAGTTGGTTAAGCGACTGCCTTCGGCTCAGGTCATGATCCTGGAGTCCCAGGATCGAGTCCCGCATCGGGCTCCCTGCTCGGCAGGGAGTCTGCTTCTCCCTCTGACCTTCCTCCTTCTCATGCTGTCTCTCATTCTCTCTCTCTCAAATAAATAAATAAAATCTTTTAAAAAAAATTTTAAAAAAATACATTACCTTTGGGCACCTGGGTGGCTCAGTCGTTAAGCGTCTGCCTTCAGCTCAGGTCATGATCCCAGGGTCCTGGGATCGAGTCCCACATCGGGCTTCCTGCTCGGCGGGAAGCCTGCTTCTCACTCTCCCACTCCCCCTGCTTGTGTTCCTGCTCTCGCTGTCTCTCTCTCTGTCAAATAAATAAATAAAATCTTTAAAAAAAATAAAATAAAATAAAAAAATAAAATAAAATAGGTTGTTTTAAGCTGCTAAGTTTGTGGTCATTTGTCACATAGCACTAGAAAACTAATACAAGAACAAACTGGTTGTTCTTTTCTCCGGGTGCTATCCTTTTTCCCTTTTCCTCCTAGAAGTCTCGGTTGCACACCACATCATGCCCTTGACCACCTGACATGGCTGATGGGACCAAGCTAGCAAAGCCAGAGCCTTTGTCTGGAAATTTGAAGTTGGGGCCAAGAGATTCCAGTTGGGAATCTCTTGAATGGAAAAGAGATATAAAGGTGTATGCTTTGTTAACACTATCTTCTGTCCAGCACAGCCCCTAGGGCATACAAGGCCCTGCGGAAATACTTGGGGGTGTGCAGATGGTACCCATCAATAGCAACAATTTGATTATAAAAGTAATTCAAAAATCATGAGCCCATGTGAGGTGTAGTGATTTACTGGTAAAAATTCAGGGCAAGAAAAAGGTACTGACACAGATGTTTATTATCCAATCAATGCACATGAAAACGTCTCCTAGTTTCCAGGATCTACTTCTTTGTGTTATATATTGTCAAAGATATCATTCCTGGTGAATTTCATATATCCCGCTGCAAGGAAAATGTAGCAACGCTATTATTACTCACAATGCTATGGCTCTTTGGAAACTTTAAAATTGAAACAGTATAGATCTCCTGGCCTCTGCAGTTCCCCAATGTCATTTGTTGAATTCTGATTACATCATCACTCAAAGCAACATCCATTGTACTCCCTTGAATAATGGTTTCCAATGACTCTCAAACGTTGTTAATGTGCTTTGTGGATGATGACCACAAATGCAAGTCTTAGCCAGAGGATGCAGGAAAATGTAAACAATTATTCTGTTCTATAGTCATGTTAAATCATTTAGAAGTTTATAGCATTTATTTATGGGATTTAGGGCACTAACATAGAACAACCATGTCTTCTCTTAAACTAAGCCTTCCAACCATGTCTTCTCTTAAACTAAGCCTTCATCACTGCACTACTAGAATGTGACCTTTTTAATGTTGATCACAGCCCTGCCTTCCACATACCAGTTACCATTGGTGAGGATAGATGAGGGGCCCTGGACAGAGCAAGAAGGGCAGTCGCATTCAGGTATGCCTTATCTATCTCTTGTCCCACAGGGCTTAAGACCAACCCAGGACAGCAGAATGTCACCACATTGGTTAAAGGCAAGAAACGGCTTTGATAACAAGGGGCCACTGCCTTTGCAGTACTATAGTCCAGAAAGCTCAGGGAGGGGACAAGAATGGCCATGACCAGGATTACCTGACATACAGCACATAGCTTGCAAAAGGGTGGTGTGACTGCACTGGGCACTGACCATGGGTTAGGGGTGGGGGACCCCAGGATTAAAAACCTGTGGGCTACTCATACCTCTCACAGTTGCTCCTCACCAGGAGGCTCCTAGGTCTGAAGGTAAGCACCCATGCGCCAGGTAAGAGCACCAAGTGCTTACAGACAGGTAAGCACCCATGCACCACCTCATATAGGCAGCCCATGGAGGACAGTGGGTAACCAAGGTCCTTAACTTGTCTTGTGTCCAATGTTATTGAAAATCACCCCCAAGTCAGCGAATCAGCCCTATTCTGGCAGCTAAAACTTGGTCCAATCCCATGAAAGAAATACTGCCCTGGCCAGGGGGAGCTTTGGCTCACCAGGAATAGGCAAGGCCATGCAGCCCGAGACCTACACCCATAGGTGTAAGCCCCAGAGCTTGTCGGGCACCTGGTGGACTCCATTCACAGTGAGAGGGGGTTATTGTCAAGAGGACTCTGCAAGGGAGAAACAAGAACTGAGGCCAATAAGGTCTGGGCCCAGGGTTAGAGTATCCTGCCCAGAAGGTCCTGCTGACCAGGCCAAACCCCACCACCAGCGACAACAGAACACTTGAAGGCTTTCATTACCAAGACCCACACAGGACTAGATTCTGGCTCCAGAGCACCAGAGGGGACCTGGAATACTTTAAGAAGGTGTTCCAGGGGCACCTGGGTGGCTCAGTTGGTTAAGCGACTGCCTTCGGCTCAGGTCATGATCCTGGAGTCCCGGGATCGAGTCCCTCATCGGGCTCCCAGCTCGGCGGGGAGTCTGCTTCTCCCTCTGACCCTCCTCCCTCTCATGCTCTCTGTCTCTCATTCTCTCTCTCTCAAATAAATAAATAAAATCTTAAAAAAAAAAAAAAGAAGGTGTTCCAAAGGGTGAGACTCCCAGGGGTACAGGATGTTACGAGCCTCACTTGCTCAGTTCTAAAGTCAGTATGTACTACTTCTGTCTGTCCCGTGAATGCAGTAGCAGGGGAAAGCTGGTCTACAGAAAGGAAAGAATGATGTGTAAGCAGAGAGGCAGTGACAAGAGATTGCTCGAAGAGGGCTAGGATGCTTCTTTCAGTCTCCTGAATCTACGTTGCACTCTTGCCCTGCTATTCCATCAAACACCTTCTCTTTAACTCCCTCCCTTTTTGTTGTTTAAGCCATTTTATTGTGATTTTTGTTACTTGCCACCATAAATAGCTATAGTACAATATATCCGAAACCAGATTCTTAGCTTTGTAAGTTCAGAAACTCAACTTTATCATTTCCACCATTGCTAATTAACCTCTTGGGGATCAACATGTTAAGAGGACCCATAAGAAACTGGTATGTGTCTCAGAATGTCAATTTATCCATCTATAAAGACAGCTAAATCTAAAAGAATAATGTGTATGGAGAACTCACTCTGGGTATTTTGCCATGGTAGTTTAAATGTACTCAGGAGAGAAAATGATCAGTCAGAGGGTTGTTTGGTGAGCATATAATTAGAAGAAAGAGAATGGGTAGTCTTGAGGGATTTTCTTTTCAAGTTGGGATAGTTGAAATTCCTTTTCTGTTCTAGGAATATTTCTCTTTGAAAAGTTAGTTGTAATCCTTGAACACAAATAGCCTTCTCTTCTGGTCATTACCAGATCTATTCTTATGTTTTGTTCATTGTTGTTTTAGACTTACTGTAAATCATCTTTCTGTTGACATGTGATTCTCACAGAAAATTTTTACTAACTACACTTGATTGACTTTTGGTATATTAACTGGATGTTATTCACCAGCTCTATCCTTTAATTGAATAATAATAATAACCTTTATTTATTGAGTTCTATTTATCAAGTACCTCAAGTGAGTTATCTCACTTAATGCTTTCAGCAATTCTAAAATACAAGTACTAGTGGGTACCTGGGTGGCTCAGTCAGTTAAGTGTCTGCCTTTGGCTCAGGTCATGATCCCAGGGTCCTAGGATCAAGTCCTGCATCAGGCCCCCTGCTCAGCAGAGATTTGCTTCTCCCTCTCCCTCTGCCCCTCCCCGCTTCTTGTTCCCCTCTCTCTCTCAAATACATAAATAAAATCTTAAAAAATAAATAAATACATACATACATACATAAAATACACGTACCATTTATTTCCTCTGTGAAGAAAGAAAATATAGATCAAGTAATTTGCCTAAGGTCACATAGTTAACATGTAGTAGAGCTGGGATTGGAAACCAAGAAATTGGACTTGAGTCACCATATTTTACATTTTACAGCCCTTCACAAGGTACTTAACAGTTCTAAACCTTGATTTCTCATCAATAGACAAAACTAACAATATCTTTCCTAAAGATTGGTAGGATTTTAATGTGATAATGAATATAAAGCTCTTAGCACACTACTGTATAGTGATTAATAAATAGTAGCTATTATTACCTGTAAAAGAATTCCCTCAGGAATATGGACTGGCTTTAGATTTTTGTTCACATTACAACTACAAATCAGATGTTAGAGTGAGTTAATTCTATTTTCAGAAGGCTGATTTAATCAACTGCATGTTAATCCTTCCAACCTCACTTCTAAATGGTATTTTATCACTCCATTTCCAAATTCTGAGTCCCTATCTGGAGGTGAGAGCCACACTCCCCTATCCTGCAATATCTGCACAGATTGCACTAAGCCCAGCCACAACTTCACATACTCCACAACTTCACCTAAAATCACTGCTGTCCTCGTGACCTAAGAAGTAAATTTTACTTTCCACAGTTTCCAGATTAAAATTAGGGAGTTTCTTAGGTATGAGAGTTAAATTCACTGACTATTTTATTTATTTATTTAAATTCCTTGTTCTTTTGTTTGAGTAAGACCTATTTATTTCAAGAGCAAACATTTTTATGGTTGTTTGTTAAGCTGCAATTCCAGATACTTTATAACACAAGGATTATGTACCATAATTAAGGAAAAAATTCTGGTCAACTAAAGAAAGTTATTTTAATATATCTCAATTATGACTCTTGTAGTGAATTAGTGATTTGGAACTTTATAAAAAGTTATTTTCCATTGTTTTTGAGTAGCAGATTTTTTTTCTGAATGTGACTGAACATGCATAAACAAGATCTGCTTGATTTATCTGTACTTTTAGAAAATTCTCCTTGAATCTACAAATGTAAACCTCAGAGACTGGATCATTGCCACTTTAAACTCTCAGTTAATTCTAGAACGAAGAATAGATCTTTTCCTAATAGACTTGTAATATGACTTAACAGAAATTATGGTAGACTCAATATTTCAACTGTAAGAGAGCTCAATCATTATTAGGGCCAGAAGGTACCCACTTACCAGTGATACTCACCATGTCACAAGTGGGTGTGTGATCAAATCCTCTGTCCCTGAAGTTAGTATAATATTTAACAAGATCTACTGAATGAGGGGATACGCAAGATAGGTAAATATAAGTATTTTTTAAACTTTTTCTTTTAAAAAATGCCCAAGTCGTAAGTGTGCAGCTCAATCGATTTTTATAAAATGAAGATACCTGACCAGAACCCAGATCATGACAAGTATTACCAGGATCCCAAAAGGCCCCTGATGTACCCTTCCAGTTGCTATTTCCTCCCCATGTCCCAAGGTAATCATTATCTTAGATTAGTTCTGTCTGCCTTTGAACTTCATGTAAATGTACTAGTTTGTATCTGGCTTTTTCAATAATTCATTATTATACTTTTGAGTGGCAGCCACACTGTTCAATGTGGTTGCAATTTATTTTCATTGCTACATATGATATTCCAGTGGGTGAATATGTGACAATTTATCCAGGCTCTCATTAATAAGCAACTGGGAATTTCTAGTTTGGGGTTATTATGAATGTGTAGCAATGAAGATTATTATATACATCTTTGATGAACATATGTGCACTTCTATTGGGAATATACTTAGGAGTGGAATTTCAGGGTCATAAGGTGTACGTATGCTCAGATTTAATAGATTCTGGACAAATGTTCTCCAAAGGAGATACATCAATTGACACTTCCACTATGTATAAGAATGTATAAGAATTTATTGTTCCACACCCTCTCCAACACTTGGAACTGTCTGAGTTTTTACTTTAATTTTTTATTTTTTTAATAATTTTTTTTAACGATTTTGTCAGAGAGAGAGCACAAGCAGGGGGAGTGGCAGGCAGAGGGAGAGACAGACTCCCTATTGAGCAGGGAGCCCGATGCTGACTCAACCCAGGAAGGATCCTGGGATCATGACCTGAGCTGAAGGCAGAGGCTTAACCAACTGAGCCACCCAGGCAGTCCTGAATTTTTCATTTTAATCATTCTGATTAATATGTAGTAGTAATTTGCATTTCCTTGACTGGCACTGCCAGAGCCAAGATGAAGTAAGACCACTATTCTTTCCTGCTGATTACAGCTAAAAGCTCAGATCAAAATACAAAAAGCAACTACCTGAGGACTCTGAAAAGTAAACAAAAACGGGCAGACTGGGGAGAATCAAAGTTGGAGAAATGCCCTGTTTGTTTTTCCTATTTTCTCCCACAGCTTTGGTGTGAGGCCTGGCCTCTAGTAAAACTAACTGGCAGCACAGGCAGCAAAAATGAAGCAGGTTGGAGAAAGGTTTCTATGAGCCAAAGTTTGGCGGGGTGGGGGGGTGAGGGGGAATACCTGGCTTTTTTTTCCCCTCCTTTTCTCCCTCTGAGCTTTGACCTGAGAGTTGGGGCCTAGGCTTGGACCAAGAGAAACCCTATCTTTTTTTTCTTTTTTTTTAAAGATTTTATTTATTTATTTGAGGCAGAGAGAATGAGAGACAGAGAGCATGAGAGGGAGGAGGGTCAGAGGGAGAAGCAGACTCCCCGCCGAGCAGGGAGCCCGATGCGGGACTTGATGCGGGACTCGATCCTGGGACTCCAGGATCATGACCTGAGCCGAAGGCAGTCGCTTAACCACCTGAGCCACCCAGGCGCCCCGAGAAACCCTATCTTTCTAAACAAGGGAACTGGGAAAGGAGGCCTCTGTGGTATGAAGGGTATGGAGGGAATCTACATTTTTTTCTTTCACCTCTTTGCCCCAGTGTGGGACCTAGTCAGCTGTGGCAGCTATGGAAGGCAGCTAGAACTCCAAGAAAAACCTCTTATTTTTGGCAGGAGGGTCAGGAAGAGGGGTCCCTGCAAAACAAAGAGCATGAGATGACTATCAACAAGAGCTGTAGAAGGGGACCCCCTAATTCTATGCATAAACTCACATAAATTCTGTTCTCACGCCTGAACTGCAGGAAAGACACAAAGCTGTATAACAAAAGGTATGTGAACTGAACTACAATTTACTACAGTAATCTCCCCTTATCCACAGGGTATATGTTCCAAGATCCCTATCAGATGCCTGAAACTGCAGATAAAACGCTATGTGTATATATATACTGTTTTTTCCTATATATTCATTCCTATGATAATTTATAGCTTGATTTATAAATTAGGCAATAATAACTAATAATGAAATAGAACAATTACAATAATATACTATAATGAAAGTTATGTTAATGTGGTCGCTCACTCTTAAAATATATTTTTGTACTGTACTCACCCTTTTCTTTTAAGATTTTGTTTATTTATTTATTTATTTATTTATTTATTTACTGAGCATGTGTGAACAGGGGAGAGGGGCAGAGGAAGAGGGAGAAAGAGAATCTCAAGTGGACTCCGTGCTGAGCACTGAGCCTGATGTGGGGCTCCATTTCACGACCTGGAGATCATGACCTGAGCCAAAACCAAGAATCAGACACTCAACCAACTGAGCCACCCAGGCACCCCTCACTCTTTTCATGTGAGATGATAAAATGCCTATAGGAGGAGATGAAGTGAAGTGAATGACATAGGCATTTGTAACAAAGTGTTAAGCTACTATTAACCTGAGGATAAGTCAGAAGAATCATCTGCTTCTCATAGTTGATCACAGGTAACTGAACCCAGGGAAAGCAAAACTGCATATAAGGGGGAACTAATGTACTCCCCAAATTTCAAAATACTCCCCCAGTGTTGTATGTATAGGACAGACTCAAAGCAGAATAACAAAGCCTTTGAAAACTGAACTGATAGGGACCAGAACACACAGAAAGTGAGACTGAACTTGTGTAACTGAACCAAACTGAGATTGACCCCCTCCTAAAACAAAACAAAATAACCAATATTCCTCAAAGGCTTTTAACAGGATCCAGAGTCTATGCAACATAATATTCAAAATGTCCAAGATAAAAATTACTCAACAAAGAGAATTAATCAACATACAAAGAAGTGGGAAAATACAACCAATTCTCAAGGAAAAATAAAATCAACAGCTGCTAACCCCTAAATGACTAAGATGCTAAAATTATCAGATTTTAAAGCAGTTATTATAACTCGTAAGTAGTTAAAATGTTCTCTCTAGGTATACGTTGTACTCTAGAAAAATTCTTGCATTTTAGTACAGGAATCCGCGCATTAGAATGTTTATACTAGCGTTTTTGTAACGACAAACCTGGTAAATAGAAGGGAGAGACTGTCACAGAAAGAAATATTATCACTATACAGCAGTAAAATTAAGGAACTACAGGCACATGCAAATATATGCAACAACCTAAAACGAATTTGGAAGTACACTGTTGGGGGGGGGGGGGGGAAGGCTGTAAATTACGTAACAACCAACCATCCTTGTAAAGCTCAACAGTTTATAAACATAAATTTTTAAAGATTTATTTATTTGAGAGAGAGAGTGAGAGAAAGAAAGAGCACAAGAGGGGGGAGGGTCAGAGGGAGAAGCAGACTCCCCGCCGAGCAGGGAGCCCGACGCGGGACTCGATCCAGGGACTCCAGGATCATGACCTGAGCCGAAGGCAGTCGCTTAACCGACTGAGCCACCCAGGCGCCCAAACATAAATTTTTAAAAAGCAAAAGGACAAACCCAAGATAGAGGAAAGTGTTACCCCTGGAGGGAAGCAAGGGGTAAAAGACACAGATAATTTCCACAATATTGGCAATATCCTAGTTCAAAATTACTGGTCGGTTCCCACATGTACATTGCTTATCTGTTATACCTACGTCTGTGTCAAAAAACAGTAAGCTTCTAAATGATATCCGGGTGCTGTGTGCATAATTAAAGAACAGAGTTCTCAATCCTTTATTAAAACAGCTTCTACCAACACTTGACTAGCCCACCGTACCTCACCCCCTAAACCTAGCCTGAGCAACCCGCGGTCCCAAACTCAAACCTGATTACAGTCACTTCCGCCTGGGCTCCCTAGCTCCGCCCGTGTGAGCGGAAGTATTTTCCTTTCGGGTCCTCCCGCCTGTAGGGGGCTCTCCGAGGCTTCCAGTGCCACGAAGGCCTCCAGCCTGGGCTGACCCTGCGGCGCCTGTTACTTTAGCCCCAGAGAATACCTTTGCACCATAACTCTCTCGGCCAGGAAACAATCGCACAGGCATCTTACTCTGGACTATAACGTTCACACTCAATCCCGGCCGAGCGTCCTCATTATCAAGCCCTGGTGCAGTCGTGCGTCGGAGTCAGGCGTCGTGGGGACAGCCCCGGAGTGCCGAAAGTCCCCAGCCCGCTTCCTCCTGCGAAGACGTAGCTGCGGGTAGCTGTGGTGGCGGCGTCCAAGATGTCGACCAAGAATTTCCGAGTCAGTGACGGTGACTGGATTTGCCCTGACAAAAAGTGAGTTCATGAAGGGTCCCGAATTGGGGCAGGGTTTATCGGTAGAAGCTTTCCCAGGCTCGCTCGGCGTTTTCCGTCCTTACGGTCTCCGGTACCTCAAGCCGGGTTGAGGCGGCGAACGGCCAGCTTCCAGGCGGGAAGGAGGCTCCGGTCTCCTCTCGATGAGCTCTTTCGGGAGTCTTTGTGTTGAGTATGTCTCCAAGTTTCCTCGACGTTGTCTCCCCAAGGCAGCCCCTCTTTTTCGAGAGCGAGATGGCCTACCTTTTGCCCCCACACCCCACCCCGGCCAGGTTTCAGCGATAAGGAAATCTCCAGAGTCGAGGCCAGCTTGCGATTGGATATGCCCCACGTGACTTTTTCCTGCAGAACTTTACTCTCGTTCGCGGGAAGCTGCTTTCTCGAGCTCGTCTTTTTGCTTCTCATAATTTGCCTTGGTTTTTTAGTTTTTAATTTCAGCTTTCTTCCCTACTGTTTGTACCCCCCCCCCCCCCGTCCAAACACTACCCTTCTTTGATTTAGGAAATACTGACTTTTTTTCTCTTGATTGATCTTTAATTTCCCCACAATATCGCCTCGTTAGAGCCGAGAGGCCTGTGTTTTTGGCTGCTCAGCCCTGGAGATTCCTGCAGCAGAGAAGCACGTGTTTTCGTGGCTGAGCTGTTTGACATGGTTTGCTGAAGCCAGTGTGCTCTGTTAAATTGCCAGGTTCTTTGGAAGGGTGCTCAAATATACCTATTTGGAAATGCATGGAAAGTAATTGTCCAAAAAATTGGATGCACAACTCACATTCAAATAAAAATCTTTGATCTCTTCTTAAGCTCGCCACAAATACAGAGTTCATGTAGTAAGGAGGAGAGACTCTGAAGAAAACAAAAGTGGGTTTAATTCCAGTTCTATTGCTTACAGACCATGTAAGTAGGTTATTTAACTTTACTAAAAGACTGGGATAGAATAGCTCCCTTTTAATGAATACACGATAGTGTAGATAGTGTGTAGAGCAACAAAATATAACCAAATGTGAATACTCTTAATTGATAGCTATCGGTAGTAGTTTTAGAAAAGTTAAATCACTTACTGTCCTTAAAGGACATTAAATCCATATTTCCCCAACATTTGACTTCTGTCCACACTTTAAGTAGTTTAAATATTGTTGCGTTTATTTCATAATAAATGGATGGCTCGCTTGGTAAAGATTGAGATGATCTGAAGGATCAGGTCAGCCTGACAGTATTGAATAGAACAAATTCATATGCTATGAATAGCATTGCTCTAAGTGATACAGACTATTGAAAAAATTCAAAAGATAAACAGCTTGTGATTTTTGTGTTGTTGGTTACTTGTAGAATGATGTGCTTTTGATGGTGTCATTATGACAGCATATGCAGATATTTGAAGTAGGTCTAAGAGAGTACATTCAACTCCGTTACGATTATGTGAATAGAGTATTATTTCTACAGTGTGTATATTCAGGATAGATTTGATATATTTTCAATGCTTATTTGGGTCATAGGGCATATTTTTTATGGGGAAAAAAGATCTAAAAATTATATGGAGTGCTCACTTTATACCCATTCCATAATTCACATGTTTATTTCATGCTAGTGTAACACCTAAAAGAAATCAGCTTTTTAAAATTTAAGCTTTGCATGTCATTCAGAGCATTTAACATGCTTTTACCAATATACAGATGCATTTTTAAGACCATCATTGTTAGTGCACCTGATAATTTTCTTGTTTTTAATTAAGTTTGCTGAATATAAACAAAGTGATACTGTGCTGTGTTGCACCATGTTGAATTTATTGGTTGTGGTTATTTCTTTCAACTAGGTTTCAGAGGTTTGATAAATACCCCCAGAAAACTCCCATTTCCTTGTAATTATTGAACCTATTTATATTTTTAGTTAGTATAACCTATCTTCTTTACATTGTTATCTCCTGCTTGTAAAAAGATAATTTTGTCAAGATCCATGAAACCGTCTCTGATTTATCTTTATTTTACCCCTTGGCCCATCTTTAGGATTATGTATTTTTTATAATACTTAACACGTTTTTGTATATATCTTCTTATTTTCTGTACTAGGATTTATTTTGAAGTTGTTCTAACTCTCAGTGCCTCTCAGTAATTGTTGAAGTGGAATCCTATCTTACATCACCTTTGCCAAGGGGATTTTGTTGTAATCGATAGGTGCTAATAGAACACTGAAACACAGAGATCCTAAATGACTAACCAGTTAGTGAAAGATTGGAGTTTTTTATCCTGGACCTGTGATTTTAAATCTTATATTTTTTCCACCTACATTGCGAGGATGAGGTGGGGGTTGGTTTTTTGTTTTTGTTTGTTTGTTTGTAATTTGAGATGGCGTTAGAGGTTCTGGATATAGGTGTATAGTAAGGACACATTAGAAGTTGTGCATAAAGAACTTCTAAAATTCTGTAGATTTAAATAACATCTCTGTATTTCTTTTCTTTATTTTCAGATGTGGAAATGTAAACTTTGCCAGAAGAACCAGCTGTAATAGATGTGGTCGGGGTAAGCATTTAAGGAAGCTTCTATTACAACTATGTACAGATCATTTTTTTAATTTCTCCAGATTCATAATGCATTATTTTCTTCTATTGTCAGAGAAAACGACTGAGGCTAAGATGATGAAAGCTGGGGGTACTGAAATAGGGAAGACACTTGCAGAAAAGAGCCGAGGCCTTTTTAGTGCTAATGACTGGCAGTGCAAAACGTATGTGTTTTAAATTATCCAGTTTTTCTTCCATAATAATATGTCTAGCCACTACTTGTTAATATTTCCAGTTCTTACTAGTCACATTGACAAACCAAGGAAACTTTTTTAATCAAAGATATGTTGATTGTTTAGTCCGTATCTGATAGAGAAAATATAAAGAATTTTTAAATTCTCATTTTTTAATGATAGTATTAGTTTTTACTGTGATGGATTATGTATACTAGTAAATGAATGATTAAGGTAAGCTTGCATTCCCAAAAAAAGGGCTATTTAAAACTACCAAAACCTACTTCTTTCTATTGAAAAATCTCAAAAATTTTCAGCCTCTATCATTAATACGAAATACACTACAAAATTCATTTTGCCTGTTTACAAAGTAGTTTTAGAATTTTAAGTTGTTTGCTATAACTATCTCTCGTTAGGTAGTTTTTCCTTAATACTTTTGATTTTCAAGTTCTGTATAGATTTTTTTCCAACTTCCATCTTTTCTGTTGTGCAGATGAATCACATATATGAAAAAGGACTGAATCAGAAGAGGGTTTTCATAAATTTCTGATCCTATAGATACTAAATTTGTATTAGAGAATTGTCCAACAGATTAAATCACTGGATTTGATATGCTGTGAAATTCAGTCCTTGCACTTACTCCTCAAAAACAAATTTAACTTTATTTGGAAGGTATAACTTTACTGTCCTTTGAGGTGAATTTGGAGACTGAAAAATTAGTGAAACCTTTAATTTAAAATGAATTTTCCCTCTAAGGCATCAAAATCTCTGTAGGTATAATTTGCCTCGTTTTGGAAAAATGACAAAGGCACTCTTCAGACTGTATAGCTTTTGCTTCTCTGCTTAAGTAGTTCAGTCTTTTGTCGGAATCCATATTTTCTCTTCAGAAAATGTGTGCTACTGGTACATATTCTTTGTTTGCAGTATTCTTAATAAACATTTCTTTATGGTAGTGATTTCATCCTAGTTTTTATTTTAAAATTCTAGAATGTCTAAAATTTTACTTTTTTTCTTATATTGCATTATAGACTACTAATCTGGTGTTTTTCTCTTCTAAAGATGCAGTAATGTGAATTGGGCCAGAAGATCAGAGTGTAACATGTGTAATACTCCAAAGTATGCTAAGTTAGAAGAAAGAACAGGTAAAATACAATCACATTCTAACTAAATGATTTTAAAAGGAAGAAAAATTAATTAATAATTCTATCACCTTCTCTTATAAGAGCATAGTAGTTGAGGATTCTGTTTTGCCCTTAGGTTTTTATCTTGATATTTTTCTCATACCCAAAAAAAGGTCATCTTTTGTTTAATAATACCACAGTTTACGGAGTACAGTGTTAGAGAGTCACAAATAGTGACATTAGGAAGGGCAGAGAGGCACCTTTTAAGATAATTGTCTAATGATTAGGCAGTAATTCTCAAATTTGGCTGTGTCTTGGTGTCATTTGAGAAACTTCTTTCAAAACAGACCTATGAATGCTCATTGGGTGTGTGTCCCAAAAATCTGTAGGTGATTAGGATGGTGTTTGGTAACCATTGGCCTAAGTAATAGGTTACCATTGGCTTTGTGTGTTCTCTGTGGTGAGATGAAAATATTTACCTAATCGAATATAGTTTTTCAGTTATCAGCAATTAGCTCAACCACATTATCAAATCTCATTTTGTCGTGTAGTGACTCATACATCATATAATCAAAGTTTTCCTTCTATATATAGTTATCGTCAGACTTACTAAACTACTTCCCTATTTTCTTTTCCTTGAGAACTTCAGATCACTTCCACTGTGTGGTTTCTGGGGATATGAGACCCATTAGCCCTTCCAGAATCATCTGGACCTAGCCCTTCAAGGCTGCAACAGAAATTGTTTTTTTATTCCCCCCGTTTTTTGGTGTTTTTATGTTTTGTTTTTTGTATATTTAATATTCTCTCATGTGAGATTATAGTCCAATGTCCTAGATATTTTTCTTTTTCAATCCTCAAATCTTACCCCACTCTTCTCATTCTTAGCCTTTATATTAATTGGGTAGATTGGGGCCTTCTAATAAGGGTCTCCCTTTTTTTTCCTTTCTTCACCTTCTAAAGAATGTTTTTGGTTTTTTTTTTTTATCCTTTTTCTCCCCACACCTGTGGTGGTTTATTTGTGTCCTTTTTAGATTCATCGT